GCGTTCCCAGGGCCCGTGCAGGGTGGCAAGGGAGGTGGTGGGAGTAATTTCCCGCTGAGTTCCCTGGTACGGCCGAGTCCCCTGGTGCCTGCGAGTCTGTGGGCCTCAGCCAAGAGTTTAGCAGGCTACAGAGTTCCCAGGGCCCATGCAGGGTGGCAAGGGAGGCGGTAGGATTGTCTTCCGGCCGAGTTCCCTGGCCCCGCCGAGTCCCCTGGTCTTCGGGAGACTGTGCGGGTCCAGCCGAGAGCTTAGCTGGCTACAGAGTTCCCAGGGCCCATGGAGGGTTGCAACGGAGAGGGTAGGATTAACTTCCCACCGAGTTCCCTGGTCCCACCAAGTTCCCTGGGGCCCTCGAGTCTGTGCGGCTCCAGTGGAGAGTTTAGCCGGCTACAGAGTTCCCAGGGCCCATGCAGGGTGGCAAGGGAGGCGGTAGGATTAACTTCCCGCCGAGTTCCCTGGTCCCGCCTAGTGTCCTGGTCTCTGCGAGTCTGTGCAGCTCCAGCGGAGAATTTAGCCAGCTACAGGGTTCCCAGGGCCCATGCAGGGTGGCAAGGGAGACGGTAGGATTAACTTCCCGCCGAGTTCCCTGGTCCCGCCGAGTTCCCTGGTCCCACCGAGTTCCCTGGGGCCCCAGAGTCTGTGTGGCTCCAGCGGAGAGTTTAGCTGGCTACAGAGTTTCCAGGGCCCGTGCAGGGTGGGAAGGGAGACGGTAGGATTAACTTCCCGCCGAGTTCCCTGGTCCCGCAGAGTTCCCTGGTCTCGCCAAGTTCCCTGGGGGCCGCGAGTCTGTGCGGCTCCAGCAGAGAGTTTAGCCGGCTACAGAGTTTCCAGGGCCCGTGCAGGGTGGCAAGGGAGACGGTAGGAGTAACTTCCCGCCCAGTTCCCTGGTCTCGTCAAGTTCCCTGGGGCCGCGAGTCTGTGCAGCTCCAGCAGAGAGTTTAGCCAGCTACAGAGTTTCCAGGGCCCGTGCACGGTGGGAAGGGAGACGGTAGGATTAACTTCCCGCCAAGTTCCCTGGCCCCTGCCCAGCCACTGTGGACCCTGGGCTCTCGATCCCCTCTCCTGTCCTCGCAAGCCTACCAGGATTGAGTGGTTGTTTCTGGTTAAGTGGTCCTCCAAGATGTCTTTCGGCTGCCCTTTCCTGACGGTTTGCCTTTATTTTCGTTGTAAATCCAGTTTGGTCTTGGGAGATGGTCTGTGTCGCTCCATTCACTTCGCCGCCATTTTTTCTCCTCTTTTTTAATTGTTTTTCTTTTTGGTTCTCTGATTGGGGGCCTTTTTTCTCCCCTGTCTTGTTATTCGCTAATCTAATCCTCTAATCTGCTGGTTAGTCCTTCCGATGTGTTCTTTATTTCAGCTATGTCATTCTTCATTTCCACTTGGTGGTTTTTCATTTCCAATTGGTTGATTTCATTGTTTCCATATTTTGACTCATGCTGTTGAGCTTCCTCATAATCATTACTCTGAACTCTACCTCTGATAACTTGCTTAACTCCATTTCATTTATCCCTTCTTCTATAGAATTCTCTTGTTTTTTGGGGGGATTTGTTTATTTGTTTCAGCATTTTGGCTGTCTCAGCAGGGTCTGGAGTCTGCCAAATTTTCCCTGTCACTGTCAGTGTTCCACTGATTATGGCTCCCTCTGCTGGGTTTGGATGAGTATGGAAGGGACCACACTAAACACTAATGTCTAGGCTTACTTTCCTGGGTAGAAGTGCAGGCCAAGCAAAGATTCAATTATTCCAGACCTTTTGCCTGCAGGCTGACTATTAGTCTCAGTTACTTAATGAGCCTCAGGTTGTAACCCTCAGCTGAATGAAAAATCCCACAGGTGGGCAAGGTAAGAGGTTTTCCAGTGGGTGGGGAAATTGCTTTCCCCTGGGCTAAAGTTGCTTTGAGAAGAAAATGTTTTCTGCAGTGTGGGTTATTGACTCAGCACAGGGACCCACGCCTCAGCCTTCACAGCTCAGTTCCCAGAGCCATGACACCCAACACTGAGAGGTAGGCCCATGGCTCAAAGCCTTCAGAATCTCAACTCTGCCTACTGGCTTGCTGGTAGTCTCTGGCTGTTAATGAGCCTCAGATTGCACTTCCCCGGGCTGGGTGGTGTTAAATTCCCAAGGGAGGAGCAGTTGCTTCTCCCCCTGGCTCAAACCCCTCTGATGGGGCTACTTGACAGCAATGGCTACTGAAGGATGGGAGAGTGGCTCAGCATAGGAACCCAGGTCTCAGCCTTCACAGCTCAGTCCCCAGAGCCAGTACCCCCAACACTGAGAGCCAAGTCCAAAGCTCAAGGCTTTCAGAGGCTCTTCTCTGCCTACTGGCTGGCAGGTTGTCTCTGGCTCTTAATGAGCCTCAAGTTGTGCTTCTCCAGCCGGGTGGTATTAAATTCCCAAGGGATCACTGGGTCAAATGGAAATTCAATTTTTAATTTTTTGAGGTAATACCATATTGTTTTCCATAGTGGCTGCACCAGTCTGCATTCCCACCAGCAGTGTACAAGAGTCCCCTTTTCTCCACACCCTCGCCAACACTTGTTGTTTGATGATTTATTGATGGCAGCCATTCTGACAGGTGTGAGGTGATCCCACTTCTAGGAATATATCCTAAGAAGCCTGAAACACCAACCAGAAAGAAAACATGTACCCCCATGTTTGTAGCAGCACTATTGACAATAGCTAAGATCTGGAAACAGCCCAAGTGTCCATCAGTAGACGAATGGATCAAAAAGTTGTGGTACATATACACAACGGAGTACTACGCAGCTGTAAGAAAGAAAGACCTCTTATCTTTTGAGACTACATGGAGGGACCTGGAAAGTATCATCCTAAGTGAAACAAGCCAAACAGAGAAAGACAAGTTTCATATGATCTCACTTATTTGTGGAATATAATGAACATAACAGTCTGAGGAAGGGGGTAGTCCCAGAGACGCGCAAGTGGGATACAGACTGACAATCCCCTAAATAGGGGGGTGGTGGGGAAGAGATAAACCACAGAATTTATATGCATTTATGCATGAACAGTGGACATGGACAACAAACTGGGGAAAGGGCAGGGAGGGAGGGGGAGGGGGGAATCAGTGGGGGGAAAAGGAGAAACATCTGTAACAAAAATTAATTAATAAAAAATAAATAAATTAAAAAAAAAATTCCCAAGGGAGGAGCAGTTGCTTCTCCCCCAGGCTAAAGCCACTTTGATGGGGCTACTTGACGGAGATGGAGTTTTGGTAGTGTGTATCTTTTATGGAATTTACCCATTTCACCTGGGTTGTCAAATTTAATTTCACAAAGTTGTTTGTAGTATTCACCTATAGTCAGTTCTTTTTATGTCTGAAGGGCCTTGTTATGATGTTCCCCCTTTCATTCCTGATATAGGTAATGTGTTTCTTTTTTTTTTTTCTGGATTGATGTACCTAGCAGTTTCTCAATTTGGAAGGCATTATCTAGTTCCTAAGGATGCTATAGAGTTTTAATGGCAGTCAATATCTCCCTTCTCTAGGTTCACTGAAAAATTTTCCTTTAGCTCCTATTCAGCAAGATAGCTGAAACAAGATCCTTGGCTTGATGGAGGAAGGCCTTTAGGGAGGCTAAATTTTCACAAAATACCCCTCCTAATGGGGGAGGAAGGGAGCTACTAACACTATTGGTAAAAGTATTTGGTATTTTAAATAACTCAGGGCTTAGGCCACACCTTGCTGCTGAACACAATGACCTTCAATAATCACAATCACTTTTCAAAAACTTTTTTATTTTGGAGTAATTATAGATTCCCATAAGTTGTAAAGCTGGTACAGAGAGGTCCCATGTACCTTCACCCAGTTTCCTCCACTGGTTATATATGTAGTACAATATCAAACCCAGAAAAATGACATTGGTACAATGTGTGTGTATAGTTCAATGTCGTTTTATTGCATGTGTAGATTCAGGTAAGCACCACTGCAATCAAGATACAGAACTGTTCTATCACCACAAAAAATCTCCCCTTTATAGTCACACTCATTCCCTATCATTCTCACATCCCTAATCCCTGGAAACCATTAATCTTTTCTCCATCCCTATAATTTTATCATTTCTAGAATGCTATATAGATTATATCATACAGTATGTGACCTTTTGTGATTGGATTTTTTTCACTCAGCATAATGTCTTTGAGATCCATCCAGAGTGTTGTATGTATTAATAGTTTGTTGCATTTTATTTGTGAGTAGCATTCCATGGTATGGATATTCATTTAACCACTTACCTGTAGTAGGACATTTTAGCTGTTTCCAATTTGGGGCTATTACAAGTAGCTATGAATAATCACATACAGGTTTTCGTGTAAACATAAGTTTTTATTTCTCTGGGATAAATCCTCAGGAATAAAATTGCTGGGTCATACGGAATTTCAACTTTAGTTTTATAAGAAACTGCAAGACTGTTTTTCAGAGTGGCTGTGCCATTTTACATTCCCACTGGCAATGTATGAGAGTTCCAGATTTTAAAACAGAAACGAATCACTAATGATGATTCAACTATAGTCTCTGAGTGGGTACAGAACACAGTAATAAGCAATCTGGGAGAAGGATAAACTAGAAAATTATGCAGGTAAATTAACACAGAGATTCCCATGCTCTAAGAAATACTGGCAAAAAAAAAATCACACTGCTTACATATTTTAAAGCCTTTCTACCTCAAGACAAACTAAAGTTTTAAACCTAGCAATAACACTATTAAAAGGTCAACCAACAAGAAACCTGTTTGCCATGGGAATTCTTTCCATAGTTCCATGAAGTTATTAGTACAGGTAGAACCACTAATAGGATTACCTGTATATACCACACACTAATATACTATAATGAACACTATTTTGGAATGTGTTTATATTTCATTTTTCAACTGCACAAAGCTTTTGTTTTTATAATTTGCTCCATGAATGTCATTATGTTATTATCTGTGGATAATTTATGACTATTTTTAAGCTTGAAAACAAAAGAAATACTGGCAAAAAATCTCTTACCTTCTTCAAACTGTATCCAGCATGGAAAATAATTGGAGGCAGCAGAATGTTAAAAAAGACCTCTGGATCAAAAGTTACCTAAAGGTTAAAAAAGAAAAAAAAAAATTTTTAGTTTAATACCAATTTGTGCTATAATATTTGCTTAATATTTTAAGCCATTGGCTAAAGTCTGAATATTTAAATCACATAACATAAATGTGAAAAATCATGAGTTCATCACAGAAGAGAAGGCACAGCTCCCCTTTGGAATGGCATGTTCTTTTCCACATAGCACTTCTGAGTTCTACTCTTGGTCTGCTGTTTAATACATATTAAAACACAACAGTACAATGCAATTTTGAGACCTCATATAAAGCTTCTGGACAATGTTTTTAAACAAAAAATAAAAACATCTTCATTTTTATCAAACCTTTAGTGAAGGCTCAACTGCAATAAAAGATGCAGTCATAATCCTTTATTAATTTCCTGGATCCTCCCGCAGAATCATTTATAGTCATAATTCTACCAAATTTAAATCCCTTTTGAGTGGCCAGCCTTTTGTGATATATGGTGTGGCTTAGATCAAAGTCTCCAGTGATGCTGATGGCTTCCTAAACATTGGCATAACTCAGTAGCTCTAAGGGGACTAAAATTACCTGTAGGTTTAATACAGGGAAATCACTGTAAAACTATTAGACAGCAAAGTCTTATCATATCCAGAAAATATAGCCTCTTTATAAACCTCCTAAATTTTTAAAAGATTTGTTCATATTAGTACATTATTTGGCTATTTCAATTAATTATTTTAAATCTTCATTCTAATAATTGAAAGTAAAGTTAGCATTTCTCTTTAGAAACTGGAAATGTTAACCAGTCTAATTAAAAATAAAATGTTTCTCTCAAAATTATGATTTATTCTATCTTCTTGATGAAGATGAGTAGTCTGAAAAGGAGGGACTGTCAGAGTGAGAATGGAATTTGGACAATCCCTATTCAGTATGAGGACACTGGGGTCAAAAAGAGTGAGACTTGCTGGAAGTCACCAAACCCAATATTGTATGAAGCAGCACAAGAGTTTCCTGAGACCCACTCCATCTCATGCATGCTTATGAAAGGTTGAAAGCTAAAAGCTCACTAGAACTGCCATTTGGGACATGGAGAAGATGGGCATGTTGAATGCTCCAGGTTGAGAGTAATTTTCTTTAAGGATTAAGGTAGATCTTGAGATCAATAACAATTTAATTTTTGGAGCACAAGCTACACTCTGTCTTTGACTGCAAGCCTTCACACACATTAGCCTTGTTCCATATTAAAAGGGGCTCCCACAAGTTGGATCCCCCAGACTTCATCCAGGAGCCTTCCTGCTGATAAGCCCAGCTCTATAAGGTAACAGAATATATGAGGATAAATAGGAATCTCTTGCTTATGCTGGAAATCACTCAAGTGAGGAAACATACCCTCTTCCCTGTGGAGTATTTTAGCTACCCCCAACATCAAATGAAAACAAACCCCCAAAATCAAATGAAAACTAGTATTTGAACTCAAATTCTAAGACCAGAAGACATCCTTCTTCTGAAGAATAAGCCTTTGGCATCAATCACCAATTAAGGGGGAAACTCAATAAATATTTATAGAATATGGCAAAAGAACCATGAAGAACTAATAATTATACTTCTGAACACTGAATAAACAAGCTGAAAGTGAAACCAATCTTAAGAATGAAACAACCACATCCATAACAAAAGACACAGTAAAGAAAAGATCCTTAACAAAAGACACAGTAAAGAAAAGGGTTAGAGAGACGAGGTGAATGGGGATGTAGAAACCTACTGCACCATCAGTGGCCCAAGTCAGCTACTGATCTTAGCAAAGCTGAAAGGCTCAAGTTCAAATCTGGTTACTTCTCCTTATCATAGCCCCAAAGCTTCCTACTAAAACTGAGAGGCAGGAATATCACCTATGCTCCAGGAGTTTAAATGGATTTCTCTCTATAAGGTTAAGACCAAATTGGAAGTCAAAACCACATCAGACAATAACCACTGAGTGTCCCCAGCTCACCTTCCTCAGCATGTCATTCTGCTCTACACTGTTGATCTTGCCAGGGCTGATTTCTCCTTTCAGGGTGTATTCAAAGAACTTCCCACTGACATTGACTAATAATGTGCTGAAGGCCCTGTCTTCCTGAGTGCAGCTGAGTGACTTGTCGTGGCCACTGGTGGCAGGGGTGCCATACCTCAGGATCACCCCGACGATGAGCCCTGAAACAGAGTGGAAACAAACAAAAAAAAAACACATCAGGCCTGTGGAAGGACAGAGAGAGCATGGAAATAATGGCATGGACAATTTGCAACAACTAAGAAACTCGGAAATAATCTTAGATTTCAGGTACAGGGTGTGTATATTAGGAGCAACTGTGAAGTACTTCAAAAGGGTTAAGCATCCATCTACTTTTAAGTCCTGCAGCCACCAGGAGGACAAGGTAGGAGAGTATCTTTCACGGTTATTATGGTACTGAGTACTTTTTTTTTTATCCTCACCCGAGGACATTTTTCCATTTTTTGTTCAGATAGAGCGGGAGGGAGAGAGAGAGGAAGAGAGAGAGAGAGAAACATCGATGTGAAGGGACACATCGAGTGGCTACCACCCGCACAGCCAACCAGGGGCCACCCGCACGACCAACCAGGGCCGGGGACAAACTGCAACCGAGGTACGTGCCCTTAGCGGGAACCGAACCTGGGTCTCTCTGGACCACAGGCCGGCACTCCAACCACTGAGCCAAACCGGCCAGGGCGGTACTGAGTACTTTTAACAACTGATCACATCTAATTTCTCAGGCTTTTGGTGAAGAAAGATGGGATGATAAGAAGCAATTTTTTCCCTGCCAAGGGCAGAACTGCCTAGCTCTTTGATTTGCACTAGCAACAGCCCTCAGGCCAGTCCTGCTGCCATCTGCCAACAAGGACCAGGCTGCACTGCAGGAATTTCTAGTTGCAACAAATGCAATTTTCTTTAGCACATACCAGAGGAAGGAGACAAGAAGAAATTTTTTTGTTTAGGTCATTTCAAGGCCTGGGTATCATGGAAAAAGTAATTACATCCCTTAGGGAGCTAAACACCATAGTATACATTTTTGCAGTCATGAGTCTGGGACTGTGGAGCCGACTTCTTGGGTCTGTAGCTATGATATGGCTCAAATAATTGCCTGCAAGTCTTTAAATATCACTTCTTCTTAGCAAGGTTTTCCCATTAGAAACCACCACCACCCCCAACAAAGTTGTATATAAGCATTCAATTCCATGAGTGAGGAAGGAATGTTCTTCCCCTGATCCTAGACATGAGTTACACATGCCCAAGGAAAAGTGAGTGAAGTGTGAAAAAAACACATAAATAACCACCACTTTCTACACTTCTCTCTTAGGAGGAAAAATTCAGACATCTCTCTTATATTCAGTTCTTTGCTAACAATAGTAAAAGATAGAATGGTAAAATGTTCCCCCATCCCATTTTGCCACTGAAGAAGAAAGTCACATGAGAAAAAGAATGAACAATGTTTATTATATTCTATGTATATGTTCTATAATATCTCTTATCACCAAAACATGAGAATTCACAAGACATTGTTGAAGAATAAATAATATACAAGATCTAGAAAAACTTAGATGAAAAAGAGGTTCTACAGAAAGTAACCTCACAGGGTGATCTGATCACAAATTCCTAACTGGACTGGTCATCATGGGTAGTCACACCCCAGGCATATAACTTCTTTAGTAAAAGGTTTATCTTTGCCTTAAGCAAGCCCTGATACTTCTGATTTGTTGAACAAGTGGAGGTGCTGTGCTGAGAGAGTAGAGTGCTCAGAGAGCATAGAAACTCAGTGTCCCTTCCCACATACCTTGCCCTATATTTCTCTTCCATATGACTGTTCCTGAGTTAGTGCTTTTTATAAGTAATCAGTAAACTGTTTTCCTGAATTCTTTGAGATGTTCTAGCAAATGATCAAACTCAAGGAGAGGGTTGTGGGACATCTCTGATTTATACCATTTGGTCAGAAGCACAGGTGACAACCTGGACTTGTGACTAGCCTCTGAAATGTGGGGGGTGGGGGGGCAGCCGTCTTGTAGGGCTGAGCCCTGAACTGTGAGATCTGATACTATTTCCAGATAGATAGTATCAGAATTGAGTAAAATTGTGGGACACCCAGTTGGTATCCAGCAGAGAGTTGGAGAATTGTTTGGTGTGGGAAAACTCCCATACATCTGGTCACAGAAGTGTTCAGCGTGTGTACTGAGAGTAAAGGGGAAACAGGTGTTTTTCCCCAGTAGGAGGTTTATATTTGCTGACAAATCCCTCAATTACAGGAAATGCCTTTACACTCTTCCCCATTAACCATCACCATCATATCTATAAGCATTATTATGTGGTAGATACTGTTTTTATACAGTACTTTTAAAATCTTTCCCTTTCTACCTGGGCCCAATGTGTCCATATTAAAGATTAAATGGAGACAGTGAAGATGATGATGCTGCCCCTTGTGGTAAAACATGGCAACAAAGATACAAAGTTAACACTGTCCTGATAGTTCTGACCAAAAATATACCAAATAGGATGTACTGCTAATTCAAGGTAGAATTTAAGTAACTCCTCAAACATTTTAGATTCGTATTTGTTACCACTTTAGTCTATGGAGCAAAAGGACAGTCATTGCTATAATATTAGGTTCACGCTTAACGTCTTCTGCTTCAAGAAAGGCAATGGAGACAACATGAATGACATATTTTTATCTGCCATACCTGAAAGGCATCCTGCGAAAGGAAACTGTAAAGAGGTCATAACTAAAAGGAATTAAAATATGGCACTAGATTTTTTAAAACGCTCAGAATGCTCAATATTCATAAAAAAAACAATGAGAGCAACAGAGGCATTAATGATTTTCTAGGATCAACATCATAGAGTTCCAAATAACAAAGAGAAATAATCTACTATGTATGTGAGCCAGAAAAAAATGGCACATAGATATCAGCTGATAAAGAGAGGATCACTGATTTCACAGGCATATGACTAATGTCAGGAAAGAATTTAGTTTTGACCGTTTACAAAAAACAAATATGAATGAAATTCCTTTGACATTTGTTATGGCTTAAAACAAGATGGTGAACTCCAAAGCTGCAAAAATTCAAGACTGTTTCAACTTGTGGGTATGAAAAAATTACTTCATAACTGTATTTTCATATTGTGCTGATGGTATACAACTACCAACTTTTCTAATTTTTAGAAGAAAAACATAACCACAAAATCCCTACATACAGTTTATATATGTGCCCATCCGAAAATTTGTGGTATAAGGAATTTAATTATGAACAAAGTGTGGCTCAAAAATTTCATGAAGTCATTAAAGAAACCAGCCCCCATTAGTCCAGTGCCAGTTTTCACTTTTTGACTGAGGTTTTTGGGAGTACAGCTGAACAAGTGGACAGTTGGTTAGCTGTAATTCTAGACAGCCATCCACCAGCTGCAATATTTAGATGTCTCTATTAATAAGACTTTGTTAAGGAGTTGGGAAACAGGTGCATGGATGCACTATTCTCCTCTACTAAGACCTCACCTTCCCTTAGATGAGCTACTGGGAGTAGATAATCACCAGTTTGGTTTGGCCACCACTGGGGGTTTATTTACAGCACCGGTCCAGATCGTTATACAGTGATACACAAGATAGTGAAGATAGTGATACTATTTCTAATTCAGTGAAAAAAGAGAAAGCAATAGATCCATCCCAGCAGTGACAATGACTTTTCAGGTTGGAGGTCATGTAAGTGACTGTTTTTGAGAATGAATGTTAGTCTTTCAATATTTTGTTTACCTGTTCTGCTATTTATTATGCATCTGTGCTATTCATAGATAAATTAGTTTCAAGGAGAATCCAAATATTTTTGTTACTTATTTTGAATATATAGTGAAATAATTTTTTTAAACAAATTTATGTGTACAATTCAATGATTTTTAGTATATTCACAGAGTTGTGCCACTACAATCTAATTTCGGAACATTCTGATTTGCAGTCACTTCCTGTTTCCTACTCCCAGCCCCAGGTAACTACTGATCTACTTTCTGTCTCTATAGGTTTACCTTTTCTGGACTTTTCATATAAAAATGGAATCACACAATATGCAGTATATTGTCTGGCCTCTTTCTATTGGCATAAAGTTCTATGAATTTTAACTACATATACATTCATGTAAGCACCACCACAATCAGGATACTAAACAGTTCTATCACTCCCAGGAAAACTCCCTTGTACTATCCCTTAACAGTTACACCTTCACCCTATCTAATCCCAGAAACCACTAATTTGTTTCCCATTATTAGAGTTTTATCTTTTCAAAGTTAAATAAATGGAACTAGGCAGTATATGTATGACCCTTTCAACCTGGCTTCTCTCACTCAGCATAACACTGTTGAGATTCACCCAAGTAATGTGTGAATTAAAACTTCATTTCTTTTTACCAAACTAGGCAGACTTGGGCTCAATGACTTTTCTTATCTGTACGTAGTTATATATACTATTTTGTGTACACACATACCTTGTTTTATTGTGCTTCACAGATGTTTTTACAAATTGAAAGTAAGACCCTCCACCAGCAAAAGGATTATGATTCACTTCACTGCAATACTCACTTTATTACAATGGTCTGGAAATGAACCTGTAATATCTCTAAGGTATGCCTGTGGTATTTAATATATTTCACAAGAATTAATCAGGATAAGAATGGTCTACCAGAAATCTACGTGGCTATCATTCAACTTAATCAACAATTCATTCCCAAGAAATCTAAGCACCATTTGTACACTACCCAATCAAGTCACACACACACCCAGCTCCCCACTCTCCCACTGCACCCACTGGAAAACACTAGCCTGAATTTGGTGTTTATTATGCTCGTAGAGTTTAATTGCAGATATACATTGTTTAATTTTGTATGTTTTTTGAGTTATGTATGATGTGAGTTATTCCACAACTTGTTTTTCTTTCACCCCATGATACACTTATGAGCATTATCCATACTGACATGTGGCTCTGGTTCCTGTGGTCTCAGTGCTGCACTGCACTTCAGCATGAAGATATATTTTCCTTCTGCTTCTCTGTACCACTTCCTAGATAACTGCTTCAGATTCATCATTTTCTTTCCCAGTTCTCTCTTCAGTTCTTTACCCTATCCATTTAGTTTGTAATTTCAATGACTATTTTTAATTTCTTGAAATT